CTATTTTTTTTGTTGTGGCATGGAGAGCCAAAGCCTGTAACAGCCTTTTCATTGCAAACCTCAGCTATAGGGATGTGCCTGGTGCAAATTGCATCTTCTAATGTAGCCTAGCGCCGAAGCACACATGCATGAGAGCAGGTGAATGTATGTTAAGGAATCCACCCGTCTCACTGAGGAAACAGCAGTGGCTGGCACTAAAATAAAGTTAATGCCAGTGACAAAGGTATTTTGAGTCTCTGACTGGGCGGGGGGAAGCGGGCTGGAACTGCTTTGCATTTCTGCATCCAGCATGGGGTGAGAAAGCACGTGCTGCCCGCCAGCGGTTCGAGGGAACACACTGACCACTGGCAGCGACGCTTCGTGCCTCCGTCCGGCTGCTGCGTCCCTTCTCTCTGTGTAAGGTACACCTGTGGAGCTGTGCAGGTCCCACGCTGGAGCGGCAACACGCACGACCGAATACCACTGCAACTTTTCCTTCTCGCTTTCCCTGCAGAGTTAGGAGGCTCACGCGTCCCCCCTTCCCCTTTCACACAACAGGAACCTGTGCAACACCTCGACAACAGCCAGACAGGCACCTACAAAGCCAAGTGCCTCCCAGCGCACAAATACTGCCCAGCAACGCCCCCCCCAAATATTAGAAACCACAGGCAAGGCACAGACTATATAAAAACTACCAGGCATGAGCACGGCTAAAAGGAGGGTAGTAGGGAAGAGGAAGAAAACAAATAGGAAATGCCATACTCAAAGAATTCAGCATAAACTCCAAGCAAATCAAAGCAAGGGGGGAAAAAAAAAAAATAAATCTGAACCCACTTGAATTTTAGCTGCTGAAGCCTTCTGGCTACTCGGCCGCTCTGCCGGCGCGTCGCTATGCTTAATTTGCCCCACTGGATTTGCACCTCCTGTGAGTGCCTGAGAGGAGCCATTGACTCCGGGAGGACTGATTTAGTGCAGCAGGAACCGGCGGCCTGGCAGGGGCGGCGGGAGAGGCCCAGCCCAGGGTGGGTAAACAGTAGGAGAGGAAAGGCCACGGGGAAAAAGACTGGAATGGGGAAAAGGAGAAGAAAGAGGAGGAGAGACGGAAGAAACGTGCGGCAAAGGATGGGCAGAGGAAACAGCGCGAAAGAGGAAACTAAGCACGGTACAAAAAAAGGGCTGGACGCTGGGTTTAGTAAGACCTTTCCCCAGTTTTCACATGGCTGCAAACCTCTGGTGTGCCCCAGTTTGGTGCTGGATGCCTACCATCAGTGGGAGCACCCGCACCCGGGGAGCCTGCCCGGCTCACGCTGCCCGGCGCTCCCTGCGCACGGCCACGAAAGGCTGGCGCCGGGCGGAGGGAAGAGAAACCATTCCGTTATTATTTTTTTTTTTCTCGATTTGTTTCGCCGGAGAAGTCCTTTTCCTGGAGAGACGCGGGCCTGTGAAAATGGCAGGATGTACTCAGTAAATCTGTGATACCTGCTGCGTAAGCCAACTGCTTCAAATTCCTGCTTTGCATTAGCCGCGCTCCCAGCAGACTTTACCTGAGAAACAGCGCTTGCCTACGGCACAAAAAGCCAGGAGCCAGTAAAATACGCTTCATGACATGAAGCAGGGAGCGCTTCCCAGTTGACCTAGGACAGCAAAGGTCTGGAACAGTACCGTACACTGAACAAAATGCAGATAGGAACCTATTCCCAACTTTTTCCTGTTTCCCGTCTGTGCATCCAGGAGATGCAGGCACAGCCTGGAAGGGAAGCGCTGGGTCACCGCTTGCGACAGGGAAACGCGTGCCGGGAAAACCTATCGAAGGGTCGCAGCCTCACCCGAACGCCAAAGAAACTCAACCCACCTCAAGTGCTGTCAACTAATTGAAATTCAGGACAGGTTTGCTAAAAGGTGCTTCAAAGCTTTCAAAGTGACTTTTTTTTTTTTTTTTTTGAGCAAATGGAGGTTCGGTTACAGTTTCCCATCAAAGTTGGGCGAAGGTGTGGTAAGACACGAAACCAAGTGAGGAAAAGGCGCTATTCATTGCCTTTTCCCGCGGCGTTTGCTGAATGTTGTGAAAGGCCGAGATCAAAGCAAGAAACGCTCGGTGCGTGTCCTTAAATTAGATGTAATTAAACAAACAAGCGTTTGCATAAATCCCTGAAAAGCAAAACCGGCCAATTTAAGCACGCATTGGTGCACCAGCTCCTCCTGCTTTTTCAAAAAATCTTGGAAGAATTTTCAAAATTTTCACGAATCAAGGTGTGTTGAAGCACAAACTCGTTCCTCCTGATCACAGTGCGGCTGTGGAAGGGGTCATCCCGGGGAAAAAAGTACCGGTCAGATTCTCCATCTGAAAACCACTGTTCAGAGTTTTAAAACTAAAGTACCGGAGGAAAAACACCCATACAGCTACAGAACCAAGGGAAGCCCGGCGAACTGGATAGCTCGGAGACTGGAAACGGGACCGAGCCTTGCTCCTCCTCATCACCAGCTGGGGCTTGGCCAAATCAGTAGGGATGGAAAGTTGTTACTACTGTTACTGGCAACCATCTCAGTTCGCCGGTGGTCTCTGTCCAACTCTTAATGGACACATAAAATAACGCCTGTCATCAGAAATGGCACTAAATGGTATATATTGGCAGGCTCGGGAGATAGCTGCATGTAACTAAAGACCGTGTTTCCCGTTCGGCTATTGTCCCGTTCTGGTCAAATTTTGGGGCATACAAGCAATGAAGAAAACCACCGCCGCCTTCTGTAGAGCAAGTTCTGGGCAAAGAGGGGCCGGAGCTTTCATCCCATCACCTTGCCCGAGCCACAAAACCACCACGAAGTAAAACGTGGGTCTGATTTACCTGAATGAAAAGAAAACATGAAGAGAATGAATTGCAGGGGTGGACACGGATGGGATGGACCCACAAGGGGAACCCTCCCTCG